TTTTTTTGGGGGGGGGGGGGTTCTTATAACTTAAGAGGGTGAATTTGGGGATTTGATTTTTGTTGACTTTCGAGAATTTGATCAAAGATTGATGCTTTATTGAGTTACTTTTGGCTAGGTTCGAGCCAGTTGAAGGAGTTTCTAAGGGAAAGGCATTCTCGCAGTATTGATTTTGCTTGTTTGCGGTAAGTATCTTGCCTAATAATGTCGTGAGGGAATAAACCTTAGGGCATGACCTTATTTGGCTAATTGGAATATGTGAAAAATAACGTATATGCGAGATGACCAACATATTTGTGGTTGATATGTATGACTTCGACCGAATTAGATTTTAGGCATCTATTATGCATTTTTTGGACTGTATTCTTTCTATGATTCATGTTTAATCATTTGTATGACTATGTGAACTGCTTGAATCATAATAGGCCATGTATAGGCCTTGATATCCTGTTTGAACATAGTACTTGTTATTGTATAGCGTACCCGCCAAATCTGAGTTGTAGTTGTACACTTTTCACATGCATGCACCTTAGCATGTTGTTTTTCTCATTCCTTGAATATGTGACTTTATATCCATTGTTGTATGCATGTGGTTCTCTATATGTTTTCTTGCGGTGGACTGGATTGAGAGCACGTGAGTTGTCCATGCGGATGTTATATTTATGGCACATGAGTTTTCCGTGCAGTGTGTGGATACCCCTAAGGCTGTCCTCTCATGTTTCTCCTTGATAACGTACACACAGATTAAAGAAACTGATCAGTATTTGATCTTTGTGTATTTTCTCTATATACAAGTTCTTTGGACGTATACATGCCTTGTGTGCATATTTCCTCTATATGCTGATTTGAACGATGAAGTGATTCACATTACATATCTTCTCTATATGATTCTTGCATATCATCTCTATATGTCGAACTATTAGCTTGATTGTGATGTTTGAGCATATCTTCTCTATGTTTACAGTTGGTTTAACATATACCTTATGTTTAGATTTCGGTATTGTTATTGTGTACATATATATTCATGAACTGTACAAGTTTGATAATGAGTATCATTGATCACTCTCGCCACTACCTCACCGAGATTAGTCATGATAATTACTAAGTACATGGGGTCAGTTGTACTCATACTACACTCTGCACTTATTTGTGCAGATCCATGAGTTGGACTCACCTGAGTATTTGGAGTTATGGTTGTTGCTGTGTAGACCCGAGGTAGAGCTGCATCCTGACCGTAGTCCTTGCATCTCCTTCTATCCTTTCATTACTGTTATTGTATCAGACAATATTTTGTATTAATAAACTTATGTTCTTATGTTAGAGCTCATGACTCAGTGTTAATATTTTCTTGGGATTTGTTGTATTGGTTTGGTATTTATCTATGCTTATTCGACTTTTAGAATCATTCATTCCAGTATTATTATTATTTTTTGCTATTGTTTTATGAATGGCTGGCCTAGCAAGGGGGAATAGGCACCATCATGACCAGTGGTGGTTTTGGGTGGTGACAGAATTGCTGGACCAAATTTTTCAAGTTTGTTTGTGCCTCAAAAGTTGAACTGCAAGTGTGTTGGCTGGAGAACCATGGTTGTACAGTTGATGTTTTGCTATAATTTTATATTTTTAGTGTATTGCTTACCTTAAATTTTGGTGTCTTGATATTAATATGTGCGACGTTTGAGCTTAATCAAGTTATTTTATGTGTAGGATCATTGGAATATAAAGATGAGTGAAGGTTGCAAAAAAGGGTAACAAAAATATAAGAAAAGAGTACTAAAAGGTTAAAAATGCAAGACCAGGTGCCAGGCAAGGTGACGCCTGGCTTAAGGCCACTAGAAGCTTGCGACATGCCTGGCCTCACAAGGTTCCAAGAGTGCCCCAGACCTAGCCTCGCGAGGTCAGGCACCTAGTACCCCCCAGTCTGCAAATTAAATGTTTCCTACTCAATTTTGGACTTGGAGACTCCGACCCTAGCCTATAAATACATCTTAAATGTGAGTAGTGAAGGGTTGGACAATATTTGGAGACAAATGCACCATATGGAACAAATTTTGAGGGGAAAATCATTAAGTTCTTCATCCCTTCATCCTTTCTTTGAAATTTGTTTATGCAAAATACTTGGATAATTGTTACCACGAACATGAGTGGCTAAGCACTCTATTTTTAGGGTTGTGGTTGACATGAATATTGATGTTTATTAAGTACATCTTTGTTTGTTCGAATTATCATCTCGTGATTATTTCTTTAATTGTAGTTTTAACTTTTGAATTGTTGTAGCTACCGATTCACCCTACTATCTATGCTATGCTTGGAAAAAACATGTTTTGATTAGAGTAGAATTAAAGAGGGCTTGTTTCTGAACCTGTACCTCGGGGTATGATTTCGCAGTTAGGATAGGAATATACCTAAAAGTCTTGCTTGGTTGAGTGCCGTATTTTATTCGTTCATGATAGATTCACTACCATAGGAATATAACATTGATATATTATGGATAGACAAATAGTATTGTTACAACATGCTATTTATATAAACAATTCGATCAACTAGCAACCATAGATAATTAAGATTAACAAGGTGTAATTATGAACTCAATAGGATTGATAAACCGACCACAACCCTAAAATCTTCATATCCTCTGAGTAAAATCCAACAACAAACTTTTGCATTCTTGTTAATTTAGTTGATTACTTGTTTAGTTTTTGCAATAGTAGATTAATAAAAAAACCATTGCGTTTGATTACTTTGTAGTAAATTGACTTTAGTTAGCTTAGTTAACAATTATTCTAAGTTTCTGTGGGTTCAACATGCGACTTCGAGTCACTTAATTACTTGTCGGCCACATATACTTGCATGTACTTGGGGAACCAACAAGTTCTTGGTGTCGTTGCCAGGGACTTAGCAATTAATTGTTTAATTGAGTTAATTTTTATAATTTTTCTGTTCAAGTTCTTTATTTGTTTGATTTACCTAATCTATCTCAAGTACTTGTGAAGTGAATGTCAGGGAAGAACGACGAGGGTATAGATAAGCTCGATCCCTTTGAGAACGAACCTGAGAGACTCTTCCACAAAAATAAAAAGCAACAAAATTAGCCAAAGATGCTTATGAAGCAGCAAAGGTGGCAGTACAAGTAAAGGAAATCAAAAATCAACAAGCAATTGTTGAACTTTCACACCCTGTAAGGATGGCAGACAATCATGAACTACCAGTGGTCGCAATTGCAAGGCCTAGCCTTGCAAATATGACACAAGCCATCAACAAACTAGCCATCACCGGCCATTTTGAGCTAAAACAATACATGGTGCAGCTGATACAATCCCAAAGTCAATATGTGGGGTTGCCACATAAGGATCCACAGAGGCCTATCCAAAATTTTTGGAGATCATAGATACATACAACTTTCTAAATCTCTCTTCGGATTACGTTAGACTGGCATTATTTTCCTTTTCACTATTGGGGGAAGCAAATGAGTGGTTACAAAAGAATCCTATAAATTCAATTAGAACCCGGGATGATCTAGCACGAAAATTCTTGATAGAATTCTTTCCCTCTCGAAAGACAAATCACTAAGGAGCCAGATTTGTGGATTCCAACAAAATAAAGGTAAAACTCTTTGCCAAGATTCGAGAATGTTTTAAGAAACTACCAGAGATTGCCCATACCATGGTCAGTCAGATGAAGTTTTGGGTCAAAATTTTGTGGAGGGTTTAGATGAAGCATCCAAGATGTACATGGACTCCACTTGTGGAGGTATGTGCACAGAAAAACCATATGGTAAAATCCTAGCCGCTGAACAACTTTACTTTAAATGATTAGAACTGGCAAGGATAAGGAGAATCAATAGAGCAATCAGGCCTAAAACTTGTAATATGATAGAAATAGATGCCTTCACAGCATTTAGAAACGATGTAGCCAAGATAGCCAATCAGGTTGCAAAGTGCTCTCAAGCACAAGTGCAATCAGTGCAGCATACGCAACAAATGCTAATTTATTGTGAGTTTTGTGGGGAAGGCCACACAGGTGACCAATGTCCCACTACCCCGAATCTATCTACTATGTGGGGCAACAAACTAGAGGTCCGATGAATCAAAACGGTCAATATGGTAACACATACAATCCAAATTGGTGGAACCATCCTAACTTCTCATGGGGTGAAAATCAGAACAACATGCCTCAAGGTAATTATAATCAAGCCAGCTAAACCAATACAACAAGCAAAGAAAAGTTGACCGATATGATGAAAATGCTCTTGCTTGATAACCAGAAGATAATGACTGACAATTAGCAGCTGCGTACATAGTTCAAAAATATAGAGAGAAAATTTAGGCAGATGGCAAATAATCAAAACACTAGACCTGTTGGAGCTCTCCCAAGCGATATAGAGAAAAATCCTCAAGTCATTGCAGTTACTTTGAGAAATGGGAGAGGATTGGTAGAACTACCTAAGAATAAGAAGGATCCATCTGGGCTCGAAAAGGAAAGAGTTCTAAAACCCGCGGAGGTGGATGAGAAAAACATAGCCAAATCTGAGCATGTAGCAAAAAGGGAACCACCCCCTTTTCCTCAAAGATTGAGAAAGAAGAATAATGACCACATGTTTCACAAATTTCTAGATATGCTGAAGCAGATACATTTGAAAATCCCTTTGGTGGACATGATTCATGATGACCCAAAATATTGTAAATATATCAAGGACATAGTGGCAAATAAAAGGAGGTTAACTAAGTTTGAAACTGTCCCACTCACTGAGAAGTGCACTTTCAGGATTCAACACAAGCTTCAACAAAAGCTTAAGGATCCGGGTAGTTTTACCATCCCCGTGAGGATTTGTGAGATTGATGTGGATAGATATTTGTGTTATTTGGGTGCAAGTATAAATTTGATGACATTATTAGTGTTCAAACAATTAGGTTTTGGAGCTTTGCGACTCACCACCGTGATGCTATAGTTGGCTGATAGATATTATGTTTATCTCGAGGGGGTAATTGAGGATGTATTGCCACAGATTGGAAAGTTTATCTTCCCATCAAACTTTATAATCTTGGACTATGAGGCTAATGAGCGAGTTCCTATCATATTGGGAAGACCTTGTTTGACCACTCGAGATGCAATTATCAAAGTTCGAGAGGGTAAAATGATCATGAGGGTGGACAACGAATAAGAAGTCTTCAATGTGTACTGAGCCATTTAGTTGCTTCATCATTACAAGGACCTATCCATGATTTCTATAGTGGAGGTAAATGAAACAACCTTGGGGATAAGTGTATTTAAATAGGATGTGCTAGAAAAGGCATTGATGTTGTTCAACCACATGGAATTTGAAGAAAAGGTTGAGGAGATGATGCACATTCTGGATGCATCATGTGAATACATTAGAGAAACACCCCAGTTTGAGCCTCTGGATAGGCCGAGTGGTCTGCCACCTAAACCTTATATTGAGTAGGCCCCAATAAAGGAACTTAAATTCTTACCCTCTCATCTTCATTATGCATATTTGGAAAGTTCTAGCACTTTACCTGTGATTGTTTCTTCTCATTTGTGTAACTTGCTGGAAGAAAAGGTGTTGAGAGTGCTAATGGAGCACAATCGTGCCATTGGTTGGAAAATGTCTGATATAAAGGGTATTGGCTCCACATTCTATATGCACAAAATACTAATGGAGTAAGGACATAAGCCTAACGTGGAACATCAACGCTGCCTAAACCAAATCATGAAAGAAGTGGTAAGAAAAAAAGTGATTAAGTGGTTCGATGCAGGTGTTGTATTTCCTATCTTTGATAGTAAGTGGGTAAGCATTGTTCGATATTGTCACGCCCCAAACCCGGGGAGGAGTGGCCGGCACCCGGTGCCATACTCGGCCCGAGCATACCACTTTGTAACTATGAACTTTGGAGGGGTAGCCGTCAACTTAGGCCGACGAGGCCTACCTGCAAGCTGACAATACCAATCAAGGCCGACGAGGTCATATTCTGAATCATCTGAAAATAACGTCTATCTCATCCGAGGGGTAGGCATACCCAAAATATCATATATATTACTGTGTAGGCTGATGAGGCTGCCATGAACGTCTACAACCAGCAATACCAAACTGAACATACACACAGGGCTGGAAAGGCCAAAATACCAACATACAAAATATACAAGACTCGTCTACAAGCCTCTAGAGATGACAAAACTATATCATGGTCGGACAGGGCCTCGACCTACCCATCAAACCTGTATATACAAAGTAGACTCCAAAGTCTAGACCTGGTAACCCTAGGGGAGTGGAGCTTACTATTCAAGATGATGTTTGGCTTTGTCTACTGGGAAGGTCTATCCGGTTGTCTATCGGGACCTGCATGCATGAAATGAAGCATCCCTAGCAAAAGGGATGTCAGTACAAAATAATGTACCGAGTATGTAAGGAAATAAAATAACTGAAAGTTAAAACTGAACTGATAATATAATAACTGAAAGTTACTGGGAGTCAAAGATGATCTAAAGATATGCTTACCTACTGATACTGACTCAACTCTCTCAATATAATAATTAAAATAGGTGTCCGGCCCTATAAGGCTCAGTACGTGTAACTCTCGGCCGTAGTAGGCTCGCTCATAAGCACTCGGCCATATTAAGCTCAGTAACTCGACCATTCTAGGCTCGCTCATAGGCACTCGGCCACAATAGGCCCGGTTTATAACTTACCATCTGATCACATGTTACCCAATAAGGGCCTGCCCATCGATTATAGCTCGGTGGTGGTGAAAATACTATAATGCTGTATGTATATAGACCCTCTGCTCTCTTAACTAAAGAAGATTATACTTAACTGAATATAAAGTCCCGATAAGGGAGAATATTGTAACTTATGAGACTAGGATAATGTACATAAGTTTAGGAATACAAACTTCTCTTTATATCTCGTTATCAAACGCATGTTGTTACGGGATCATGCCAAAATAAAGGAAATGCTTAGCCTTAACATACCTCAATCTCCTTCTCTCTTCAATACTTTCCAAGCAATCCACAATACAACTCAATCTACACTATACAACAAGGTCAATGATTAATGCTAAGAAGGAACTTAATTTGAATCTTCTGAGTTAGTAACTTGTCTATATAAATTTTGGCAGCATCTCCCCTATAACACTGAGTTTCTCCAAATCCACACATCAACCCCAACAACTAAAGAGATACAATAATAACAACATTAACAATAGGGTACAAAATATCTCACTAACAAGTCATCAACATATCACGACGAGCGACAAGATCAAATTGAATCACTTTAGCGCCCTTCAATCCCATTATCATTCACTAGTTAACTTAACAACATGTCGAGCATGATACTAAGTGCAATTAGAGGACTTCCAAACTCCTATTAATCACCTAATTCACGCTCAAACAACCCAACAATCGAACAACAAGTTTGACATGTAGATAATATATTCATAATAACAACAAAATAAACAAGTCATTTTCCAAGGTTTCCAACCATTTAAATTTCATGGAAATAACCTTTCCAAAACAGTCCATTAACAACAATATCATCTCAAACTATTTCAAGTCTCCTCTTGTAGTATCTTGCTCAAATAATGCACCCAACCTACAAAAAACTTCAAGCACATATAGTAGAGTATTATAAATACCTAAACCAATAGCAACCACTTGAAATTTCATCCAAACACAACTCACAACAATCCTCAATGACAACACAACCTCAAAGAGGTGTTGTTCTTTACCAGAACTAACGTTTGATGTTGAAATATGGTGTAATCACTTTGGAATCACCCTTGAACCTTTGGAATCTGTTTAGGAGGGTTAGAAGGAGTTTGGGGATTACGTTGGGTCTAAAAAAAAGCGAGAATGGTGGTCCAAATCGTTTATAAAGCGATGTATGTCGACCACCGCCTAAGCGGGCCCCATAGGGGCTACCTGTGTAGTCTTGAAAAATGTGAATATATCTCTACTCCAATATCATATCGATGAACAGTTTAACGTGTTAGAAACTAAACTCGTAGATATTCAATTTGATGGGTTGATAACCCCATAAGTCCAAGTATATTGGGAGAAAAATTCAGTGATATTAGACCCAAATTTCAGTAAAACTTATGAATGTAACTTGTGCCGACTTTCATCAACTTTTGTTCCACAACTCATTTGATTTCAAAACTTAACACACGACAATCATACAACTAAAATAACTCAAAACATAACCTTCATATCATGTTAATCACCCTAGTCTCACCCCAAAAAATATGGGTTATAACATTCCCAACTTGTCAACTTTTGACGAAACTTATTTTCTTCAATTCGTTTAGCTTCTAAACCTTCCAACCCTCTTGGTACTTGTTGTTCATGATCTTAAATATTTGTAATCTCCAATATAACGTGATTAACTTTATATTCTTTCAAAGATGATCTCATTTCCGAGTTTATATTTGTTGACTTATGACGTACTTTTACGTACGAAAATATGGGGTGTAATATCATTTCCCCCTTTGGAACATTCATCCTCGAATGTTGACTAATGCTCTTATCCATCTCCAACCCTTACGATACTTCCTTAACACATGGTTTAAGTCATCATTATCTTGGTAAAGGTCCTTAAACTCTTTGACTTATATTGATTCACTTAAGATGCATTCCAAGATGAAAGTACGAGGTGTAACAGATGTGTACCTAAAAGGGGGTTTGACTGTTGTAGTGAACGAAAAAATGAATTAATACCAACTAGGACGGTGACTATTTGGTGAATATGCATAGACTAGAGGAAGTTGAATAACGCTGCATGAAAAGATTATGTCCCCCTCCCCTTCGTTGATCAAATACTTGATAGGTTGGCTGGAAAGGAATACTATTGTTTCCTTGATGGCTATTCAGGGTATAATCAAATTGCTATTACCTCGGAAGATCAAGAAAAGACCATGTATACATGCTTTTATGGCATGTATGCATTTAAGAGAATGCCATTCGGCTTATGTAATGCACCAACGACTTTTCAAAGGTGTATGATGGCTATATTCACCAATATGGCGGAACAATTTGTGAAGGTCTTTATGGATGTTTTTTCTGTGTTTGATCCCTCTTTTGATGAATGCTTAACCAATCTTGCTAAAGTGCTTTCTAGATGTGATGAGACTAATCTTGTGCTAAACTGGAAAAAGTGCCATTTTATGGTACGCGAAGGCATAATGTTAGGGCATAAGGTATCCAAAGACGGGCTAGAAGTTGACAAAGCTAAGGTGGAAGTAATTGAAAAGTTGCCACCACTAATTTTTGTTAAGGGAGTTTGAAGTTTTCTGGTACATGCAGGTTTCTATCACTGATTCATTAAGGATTTCTCAAAAATTTTCTCTCCATTATGTAGGTTGTTAAAAAAGGATGTGGCGTTCAAGTTTGATGATGCTTGTCTGAAGGCATTCGAGGAGCTAAAACAGAAGCTAGTGAGTGCACCAATTATAGTGTCTCTAGACTGGAGCGAGCCATTTGAGCTGATGCGTGATGCCATTGATGGTGAAATTAGGGTCGTGTTGAGCCAAATGAGGAACAAAGTGTTTCACTCCATTTACTAGGCAAGCAAGACTCTTACTCCTGATCAAATAAATTATACTATGACAGAAAAAGGAGTTGCTTTCGTAGTTTGGACGTTTGATAAATTTCGGGCTTACTTGGTTGGCACCAAAGTCATTGCCTACACAGACCATTCAGTCATTAGGTATTTGTAAGAAAAGAAATATGCTAAACCAAGGCTAATCTGTTGGCTTTTACTTTTGCAGGAATTTGACTTGGAGAGCTGAGACCGTAAAGGAACAGAGAATCAAGTTGTTGATCACTTGTCTAGTTTGGAAACTCGAAATCATGTAGCTGAGGGAGATGTAATCAAGGAAACCTTTCCAGATGAGAAATTGTGGGTTATTACTGGTGGGTAGATGTCCTGTTATGAAGATTGTGTGAATTACATAG